ACTAACATCCTCATTCTAATGATATCCAGAGTTTCCATATTATCATTTATTTTTCACTTAAGGAATTCTAGTTTTAGCACTTCTTAATCCCAAACGGCAGATTTATCTTCATTTTTCCCTTTGAGCCAGGCACCAGCCTTATTAGAGCAGCAAAATTAAACTAGTGGGAAGAATCTAGAAGCAAGTCTCCAACAGAGAAGAGCAATTCAGAAACTAGGCCTGCATATATAACCTTTTGTTTCCCAGCAACTGAATAATTGATTTGTAAGACTGTGCATGGGTTTATTTATAGCAGCAGTCTACAAACACATTAACCTGAACTTCTAAGTGGGCCTGCCTTTAAAAAATTCAGAATGTGACTTTTCAAACTCTAATTTGTTCTTGTGCATGCACAAAGATTGTAATTTGTGCTTCTGAGGCAGAGGTAAAAGGTAAAGGTTCCCCTCGCACATATGTTCTAGTCTTTCCTGAATTTAGGGGGCGGTGCTCATCTCCATTTCAAAGCCGAAGAGCCAGTGCTGTCCGAAGACGTCTCCGTGGTCATGTGGCCGGCATGACTAAATGCCAAAGGTGCACAGAACGCTGTTACCTTCCCACCAAAGGTGGACCCTATTTTTCTACTTGCATTTTTTATGTGCTTTCAAACTGCTAGGTTGGCAGAAGCTGGGACAAGTAACGGGAGCTCACCCTGTTACACGGCACTAGGAATTCGAACCGCTGAACTGCTGACCTTTCGATTGACAAGTTCAGCGTCTTAGCCATTGAGCCACCATGTCCCTTCTGAGGCAGAGACCAACCTCATAAAAATGGAAGACAGTTCTGATTGCATCCACTGGCAACAATCTAGAGCTATGGACATTGATATCTTCTGTATTCTCATAAAATGGAAATACCCCTGATATTTTTTCTCACAGATGTTCTGTCTACTAACTGCATCATAGCTCTATTGGTAAGGGAGAAAATAATGTTCGTTTCTGCTCAGGCTTCTCAAGGGCAAATTACCATTAGCAATGGCAGCTATTTCTCACTGTCCCGTCTCCCAATTTATGTTTGCGGACAGTGGAATAGTGACAGAACTATTTTTGGCAGCTACCAGCTGCCACTTTTTCCCCCTGCTAGAATGTTTCCTAAATGATGTGGTGTCATAAGTACTGTCACAATGGTGATCATTGTGAAAAGGAACACCAGAACAGGAATTCCTCCAATGTAGGTTTTGAAATCTACATTGTTACATCTGCTTTCTTTTGATTTTCAGAGATTTGTATGTGCAAACACTAGATTTATTCCTTCATGTTATTGTACATTTCTCTGATACTAAACTTTTTTTTTCTGTTAAACTTTAATATTCAAAGGAAAACTACTATAGCAAACATAGTGAAAAGGACTGTGGCATTTTAAGATTAGTTTATTGTGTCTTTTGCAGCAATAAACCTCTTAGGACATGGTTTTGTTTCAAAAACACTTTTTTTTTCAATGATGGCAGAATACTTTAAATATTTCCCTACCAAAAGGTCTGGAAACGTGTTGATTACATTTCAGGTTATATCAGGCAATCCAAATTCCTCCCCTTTTTCATATTTCCATTTCTAGAACTGAAGTGATTCTGAAAACAACTTACAATGAACTTAAAACAAAATGTTGTGTATTCAATTTTATCAATCTTCTAGATTTTCTCCAAAGATCTCAGGGGAATATACTGTATAAGATTTCTCTTAAAAAGTCAAATCTGTAAATGATTGAATACACTTAACATATTTTAAAAGCCACCTTTTCCCACACCTAATTGCCTTTGCTGGTTTACAATTTTTTTAAAAAATAATGGTTCAACATTTTTTAAAGCTTTTTTTTTTCCCAAAGGAGAGTTGGTGCAATTCTTATGAACTTGATTATTGAGCTATAATATGAAAGATGCATAACTAAATGTGTGTGACTTAGTGCCTAATCTTTCAAAGTGTCATAGTTTCTCCAACAGTCTATACAGCTAGTTCTTGATTTACAACCATTCATTTAGCAACCCTTCAGAGTTACAGTGGTACTGAAAAAAAGTGACTTAAAACCAGGCCTTGTGCTTACAACTATTGCAGCATCCCCTCACATTCACATGATCAAAATTTGGGCTCTTGGCAACCAGCATGTATTTATGACCTGGGATCAGGGGACATGACGGCACAGAGGCTTCTGCTGAGTGGTGTGGATTATACAGATTATAGAGATTAATAGAGTTGGAAGGGACCTTGTATGTCATCTAGTCCAACTCCCCACCCAAGCAGACTCTACACCAGTGATGGCTAATCTTTTTGCCGTCGCGTGCCAAAAGTGTGGGGAGTGTGGGGAGATCACGCGTGCCTGTGCCCACACCCATCATTCAATGCCCTCGTGCTCCGACCCCCATACATGCACGCGTCAACCCCCGCGCTCCCTCTTTTGGCATGCAATGGCAAAAAGGTTACTGGTGGGCCCGGTAATTAATTTTGAATTAATCCTGGCTCTCCTGGAATAAAGTATCTGCACTGAAGTAAAGCCATTTTCTACCTCTCTGTTTTATACAATAGGGCAGCTAAGAACTCCTATTGCCTATCTTGGTGTCCTTTAAATGTGTTGGATTTCAACACCAATAGATCCCAGCTAGCAAAAGAGAGATGAATAAGAGTTACAGGTAGTTCTCACTTAATAATCACAACTGGGTCTTGTGATTTTACTGCCAATTTCTCCATTGGTTCTGCTTGTTGGAACCTGGGAAGCACAAAAATGATGATCACTCAGGACACTATGATGATCATAAACACCCGCCGGTTGTGAAGCACTCAAATCTCAATCACATGAAGTTGGGATGTTTTGACTAAGTCATATGTGTGATGACTAGTCCTAAGGTTCCTTTTACAGCTTTGCCATAACTTTGAAAGGTCACTCAATAGCAATAACAATAGCACTTAGACTTATATACCGCTTCACAGTGCTTTCCAGACCTCTCTAAGTGGTTTACAGAGTCAGCATATTGCTCCCAACGATCTGGGTCTTCATTTTTTTTTAATTTATTTATATGCCGCCCTTCTCCGGAGACTCAGGGCGGCTTACAATACATTAAGCAATAGCCATCATACTTTTGTATATTTATACAAAGTCAGCTTATTGCCCTCACAATCCAGGTCCTCATTTTACCTACCTTAGAAAGGATGGAAGGCTGAGTCAACCTTGAACCTGGTGAGATTTGAACTTGCAGTAATTGCAGGCAGCTGATGTTAATAACAGTGCTTTAGTCTGCTGCGCCACCAGGGCTCTTTTACTGACTTCAAAAGGATGGAAGGCTGAATCAACCTTGGGCCTGGTGAGATTCGAACTGCCCAATTGCAGGCAACGGGTAGAAGTAGCCTGCAGTACTGCATTCTAACCACTGCGCCACCACGGCTCTTAGGTGGTAGAGTAGTTGTTAAGCAAGGACTACCTATATAGGGATTTAAATCCAGCACATCTAGAGGGTACCAGCTTGAGGAAAACTGCTCTGTCTGACATGGTATTCTGTCTATTAGACAAATTATAAAGTGATCCTGGAATAGCAAATTCAAATTAAGAATAACTTCCATTGGATACTGATGGAATTTCTGCTACAAATAAGGGCTCCCAACCTTTGGCAGCCAACAGGAATATCTGATGTTTGAAAAGCAATTTGTAGAGACTGCATGATTAGGAAAGTGCCTATTCTCTGAACAGCCACAAGATTAAAAATAAATAAATAAATAAAATAAACACCAATTTACTAGAAAACAAACCAATGGAAACCTTTATGCTATACTTTTTAGGTTGCAAGATATCTGTAACCAAACTTCAAGTTATATATTTCTCTTTTTCCTACTTCTAGAAAAAGGTATGTATGAGAATTTTTGGAAATAAAGACGCACACCATCTTATTTTTTTAATTTAAAGTTAAAATAAGCAAAATGAGGCAAAAAGCCAGACAGGAACCAAAGAATATTGGTACCCAGAGACTTACAGTATGTTTGAAATCTTAGGGATGTGATTAAAAAAACCAAATGTTACAGAGGAAGTAAACATACTGCTTTTTATTTCACTGCTGATTATATGACTTTTTTTTTTATCAGACAACGATATACCCACTGCAAGAAATTTATCGGGGCTAAAAAGTCAACTATAGGATTCTGAAGAATTCATTACTGAGCAATTGTCTCTTAAGTCCCCTATAAACAAGAAAGTTTATCCTTTTTCCACCTGTTACTAAGAATTTCATATATAGTTTCTAATACTCCTGACACATGGAAAGCATGATCCACCAACCAGCCACCCAAAGATATGGTATGAGGTTTCCATGCAAAGTTTATTATCCAAAATCCAACTGGTGGCTTTTATAATACTTTAACTCATTTTTTAAAAAAATCAAAGAGCCCTGGTCACATCAGTAATACTTCACATCTGCTAATAAAGAGTTAAGAGAAACTTGCCAAGAAAATATCTAGAGCATGAGAAAAAAATGGGCAAAGCAGAGGAAGAGTCATTCATTCTTACAATTGATTAGATGAAGAATGTTTTTATTCTACTGCTAGGTAGGTGTCCATCATTTCAAACAAAGACAAGGATCATGAAATCAATGTTTTCAAGGGTTTCAAAGGTGTCTCCTTTGTTTCCATCAAAATCTCTCTAGAAATTATATTAGGATCTCAAATTCAGGTTGAGTTCTATATCTCAGCATAAGCCCTCTGTAAATCTCCAGAAAGAAGAGTATTTTCCTCAACGCTGGGTAAAAGAAAGACAGAAGCAAATCAATCAAGCCTGCATTTCATTGAGCTACACCTGAAATAGTTAGAATAGAATCTTAGCATATGTCAATAAATAAAATAAAAGTTAAACCCTTCCTAGCTTTACAGGCAAAATCTGAAAAGCAACTACTACTTACAATAAAAGCTATATCTGCATTGGGCATCCTATAAAATTTCCTTCAGACAACCAACGACAATGCTTGAGCAGTTTTCAATCATGCTGATACTTACATCAGTAGAAAAAGAGTAACAGAACATCAAGAGTTAGATATAACTCTTTCACTTTAAATGACATCCACATACTAGCCAGAATGATACCCAGTTCTTCCTTTAGAGGTGTGTACTCAACTGTATCAACTCCTTCAGAGGAGCACACGCCTTTCTGTATATAAAATTAGCTCTTCTGATGGAAGGCTGCATGATCTTTTCTGCAGCCTTAGCAAAGCCAAGCACATCTAATGCAGTAAAAGACTCTAGCGCCCTCTCTCTTTTCTCTCCTTTTACTTTAAAGGGCTACGTATCATTAATTTCAGGCATCAATGGGAATACCTGTTACTTCAATATTTTGAAGACCCAGAGCATTCTTCTATTCCACCTACCCAGAAACAGCTCAATACAGTTTGCTTCTGAGTAAATATGTTTCAGCTTGTACTGAATATCTACCTTCTAAGACATATGAGCCAGAGTAAATTCACTGGATATAGACATATATAATAGATTCCATGCAATGATGTGTAGCATTAATATGGGCTTCAAAAAAAAGTATTTCAGAATAGGATTTTAAGATACATCCGTGAAGTTCCCAAATATTGTTTGATTTGAAGGACACTTTCTCCAAACAGAGAAGTATTAGCATAAAGCAGGGGAAGGAAAATCTCCAATCTATAGAAAGTTATAATCTTGTCAAAAATAAGATTAAAACATGAAACTCTCATTCTTACTTTATTCATTGGATAGATCAAGGAATTTCTATCAAATATTCTGATTCTTCAGTTGATACAATTATAACTTTCTTTTATTTTCAGCTATATCATTAAATCAAGACTCTGAAGATTAACCAAATCATTAAAAAAATTACTAGTACTTGTCATAGTGGAATCAGAGGTGAAATCCAGCAGGTTCTGACAGATTCTGGAGAACCGGTAGCGGAAATTTTGAGCAGTTCGGAGAACTGGTAGTGGAAATTTTGAGTAGTTTGGAGAACCGGCAAATACCATCTCTGGGTGGCCTCAGAGTGTGGTGGGAATGAAGATTTTGCAATATTCTTCCCCCAGGAGTGGGGAGGGAATGGGGATTTTTCAGTATCCTTCCCCTGGAGTGGGGTGGGAATGGAGATTTTGCAGTATCCTTCCCCTGCCACGCCCACCAAGCCACGCTCACAGAACCGGTAGGTAAAAAAATTGGATTTCACTACTGGGTGGAGTCCAAGGGTATATTTAAACCCTAATACATTCTCAGTTTTTAAAGAGTCAAAATATTTCCTATTTTGGCAAATTAGGACTCTCAGTCCATGTATACACAGCAATAAAAGAGCTAAAATGTCCTTAGAATATTCTGATTAGAAAGGTTATTACTTTTATGACTTCTAATCCCATTGTTATAACAATAGAAAAGCATCTCAGAATTATTTTGACTTTGATCCCTTTAAAACTAAATACATTCTGAAAGCAGAAATGGAATGAAATTTCACAAATATTTGCAACCTAATGAAAGCACTGATATTTTTCTTATTCATTCTTTTACCATACAGCAACATCTCTACCATTCTTATTAAATATTGCATCTTCAAATACAGCTATCTAGATTTTATCCAGCAGGGGCCCTTATAAGACTATTGAAAGATTAGCTGTTTCTTAGATTTCTTAAAATTTTACTTTAGTAACAGGATACCAAGATGAATATGCAAAACAATGAACATGATAATCAGTATTTTTTTTATGAAGACATTGTTCTACAAAGAAAAGATTTTGATCAATGTTATCTCTACCTGGAAATCACTTTCAGACTTTTTGCAAGAAACTGGGAGAAATGAAATTTTGATTCTGGGTTTTGATGATTAGAATTATCTGGGCTTATAGAAATAATGCAGACTACTATTAATTTTTGAGTAAGAGTTTGATATATATTTTTAATTTATATTTGTACCAAAGAAAGTTGGAAGTCTTTCTTTTCTTTTTCTTTTTGCATTTTATCTTGCTTTATTTGACTTTTGCCTTCTTTTCAATGTTTTTCTTTTTGCCTTTTTACTTTTTTTGAAAATCAATGCACATTTAAAAAAACTAAAGCTATTGTACTACAGTGAATGCAACTGAATGATTTAGCATTCCGTTTTTCTTTTCACACTGTCTCAGCAATATTCAAAGGAACAGATACCCACAATTACATTTTCCATTTTAAATTGTGTTTAGCATTTATTTTAGTCATTGCATATAAAACGATACATCTCTTTTCTGTGGAAAGGTTGCCAGTGTTTAGACTTTATTAAACATCTGACATAATATTGACTTCTCCCCAAATGTCTTTCAGGAAGAATGCTACTTAATTCCCTCCCATTAAAAACATGTGGTGTCTACACATGTCAATGTGTGTGAAAGGCAGAAAGGAGGAGATACTGTCTTAAGATTTTGAACTACCTAATCTGTGCCCCAAACTAAGCAAAGCTGTTTTATTTTTGGATGGCAACATTTTGTCATGGAAGATAAATACTAACTCTCTAATATATTGCATTACTTTAGTCTACCATAGATCTAATTATGTTCTGTGAAAATTCAGTGCTTACACTCACAATGCCCCATCTGAAATAAACTGAACTGATTTGTATTAGTTTTTTAAAGAGCCTGGAGCACCCATCATGGACTCTATCCCTGAATCCCTGAACCCAACCTCCAAATCCTCCAGCTTCATCTTCCCTTAGGCACCTCTTCATTACTCTTTTACTGGCTCTCTGTTTCTTTCTCTTCACTGGTTTGTCTTTCTACACTTTTTGCCTTCTCTTCTGTTATCCAGCCATCACATTCCTTCCGCACCCTCTCTTCTCTGTTGTCCAGTCCCTGCTCTCCTACCAGTCTAACTACTGGAAATCCCAGTCTCCCAGCTTTGGCCTCAGCCTTCTGCATCCTGGGATCTGGCTCTTTTCCTCCTTTCCAGGCCAGGTTCCAGCCTTCCTCCATCTGTTGTGGTTGCTGTTATTAATAGTTTCAAGAGAAACACAGCCAGAAATATAAAAGTTTGTGTAAGACCATAAATTTGACAGTTACGTTACATAAAAGTGTAGATGTGTATGTAGGGGCATCACAGGGGTAAAAAAATGTCAAGATGGAGCCCATGATTTGGGACCAAAGTCCCCTCCCCCTACTTTGGGGCTTTGATCATACAGTTGTAGCTGCCACCTTGACTTCAGAACCTCTCTAGGATCCCTGCATGTGTTTCTACAAGTGTGCTGGACTTTGACTGGGGAGACCCAAGTCTTTACTTGGCCATAGAGCTCATCAGGTGATTGATGCAACCTCCCTGTTTCCCTCCTTCCCAATGGGATGCTACTGTGGAGATAAAATGAAGGAATATCCCATGGAATATCCACATGTAAAAAGACATGTACATGTATGCATCCAAACTAGATTGTGTTCTTTCTCTGTGATATATCCATATAATATCCATGTATATGGATATTAGCAGGAAGTTAGCACCCACCCCTCTCCCAGAAGAATGAAATATTCTAGGAAATATTAAAAAGGCCTGGATGAAAAAGGGAGAAACTTGCTTCTGGAAAGCAGCCCCCACCTTTATTAATAGCCCCAGAAAGGCTAGGCCAGCTTATCTACAACACAAAAGACCTTCATCTCTAGGGTGATAGGATTAGCCCTCACTCAAGAGCCAAACCAGGACGAAGCCATTAAGCCATAATAGGAATTGCCCAAAGCCCCTTGTTTACCATCATCCAGCAAGATTCAACCAAGCCTGGGACACAAGGCAACCTACAAAGTTACCCCTGCATGGCCCCATGGGAGTCTGACAACCAATCAGAATACATTTCTTTCATAGGAACAGGAAGTTCAAATTCAAAGCCCAAGAGAGGGTATAAATCTCTCTCTCTCCCTCACCCATGTGCTCACTTTGCCCAGGACCTCAAACCATGTGGTCCTGTCCACCATTAAACCATCTTTCCAAAATAGCTTCCATGTTTCCAGTGTCTTTCTCCCCACTTGGAACTGAACCCAGATGGACATTTCTTCCAACATATGCTTGCTTGTTTGCTTGCTTGCTTGCTTGCTTGCTTGCTTGTTTGTTTATTTGTTTGTTTGTTTGTTTGTTTATTTATTTATTTATTTATTTATTTATTTGCATGTTTATATAGTGTATATTGGAGGTGGTGACCCTTTGACAGCTGTATGCAATGAAATTTTGTTTTAATGTATGCTGATTAGTGTGCATTTAAAGTGACAAAGTTATTCTAAGTCTAATGAGAGAAACAAAAAATAAGGAACAAATAGAATTCTCGTGGTGCATTATATGAGGCCCAGTAAGTAAATTAACCAACCTTATAGACCAAATCTCCTGACATCAATTATAAATGCTCATTTATTTCTTTATTCAAAGGTGTAATAGCCAACCAACTCCAAAGTTGTCCAGTTCAATTTCATTCAACTGGTTCAAGGTGGTGGTGATTACCTATAAAGCCCTACATGGCTTAGGCCTGAGGTATTTGGCGGATCACCTGCGGCCAGCAACAGCTTCCCATCGCCCCGTGCGCTCACATAGAGAGGGCCTACTTGGGGTCCCATCGGCCAAACAATGTCGGCTGACAGCCCCTAGGGAGCGAGCCTTCTCTGTGGGTGCACCTACCCTCTGGAATCAGCTCCCCTTGGAGCTCCGGGTAGCTCCCGACCTTCGCTCCTTCCGCCGTGACCTTAAAACATGGCTGTTTCGCCAAGCTGGCCTGGACTGAATGGGGTTTTAATGGGAATTTTAGTTTTTATTGTTGAATTTTAATTGGACTTGTTGTTTATTGCTGTGAGCTGCCCTGAGTCCTTGTGGAGAAAGGGCGGCATATAAGTCTGATAATAAATAAATAAATAAATAAATAAATAAATAAATAAATAAATAAATAAATAAATAAGTAAGTAAGTAAGTAAGTAAGTAAGTAAGTAAGTAAGTAAGTAAGTAAAAAGTTTAAGTCAGGAGAGCACAAAATTAGGCTCTGAAAGTTTTTGGTGCCGCCCTCAATGTCCTGCAAAATGTGCCACACATTTGCTATTTGTTATGTTATGGCAGAGAGAAAGTGCCATGTTTGTGGGGAATAATTATATTAACTGTATTCCAGTTTCATTAGATCAAAGGCAGATTTTTTTCTCCCTAGCC